CCCCAAAACCCCAAAACCCCAAAACCCCTTTAAATCCTTAAAATCTTGAAACTGTGTTATTTTAAAATATTCTCAAGGCTAATTACTTTCTTACTAAGGTCGAGGTTTCTTTCTAAATATTGATCTAAGAATGCCTTTTTCAGTCCTTGAGAAGGGATGCTTAGAGTTCTTTGAGGAACTCTCAAGTTTAGGTAAAGAATTTTGCTGATAAATGGGAACTTTTCTGTAGCTTGGATAACCATCTAAGCCTGTGTTCTCTCTTAATTTATCAATGGTCTGAAACCTGTTGTTAACTTTCGAGATAGGCTTGACTGATTTCATCCTTTGTAATATTCTTTCCTTGATCAAATTACTCTTCTGTATTGTCCTTTTTCCATAAACCTCTGTACTCTTAGATCTCTCTGCTGTATTAACTTTGGCAGCTCTAGATGAGTTGGGAGTATTGATCATTTGTTCATTGAAATTAGTCAACCATTCTCTCTGAAACCTAGCAGTCTTAGTTTTAATAAGGTTCTTTCGTAAATATTTTGGCTGGCGGCGATGAAGCCGATTCTTTTCAGCCTCTTCTAGATACATCTTCTTCATCTTAGTCGGAGTTTTCACATAGTCAAGGTACCTTCACTTTCGTTTATTCTGACTTCTAAGATAACTTTTACGCTTTTTCATTGTGTTTTGAATTTTGTCTTGTAAAACTGAGATAGCAAATTTGATTTGCTCAGTGTTAATCTTTTCATTCACATCTTCTTTTTGAACTTCCTCATTATCAATTTTGACAGTCTTCGTAGATTTATTCAAGTTTATGGTCTTTTGAGCAAGAAATTTCAGCTTTGTCAGCAACCCTTGGTTCATATTAGCAAGAGATAGCTTAAAATTCCTTGTTGATTCGTTTGTAACAAGCTTGCTCAACGACTTCCAAAGTGCATTTCTATTGCTGTTATGATTATTAAAACCAATAGAACTTGATAAAAGCCGTATTAAGCTTAAAACATAACTTACCTTTCTACTTTATTTAGGCTCTAGTTTATCACTATTCTTCAGATTGTCCAAAATAATTTGGTTCTCAAAGTCCATGTACTTCTGCAACATTATTGTGTTATTGTAAGGCGTAATGTAGAAATCAACCTTCTCTTGGATCTTGCTTTCTGGGAAAACCTGATACCTGAAGTCTTTGTGGTCGATTATTTTGGAATCTTTTGGGTCTGGTATCGAAACGCTATCCTCAAAATCTTGGTAGAAGCTAGCCATTCCTTTGTTATCCCCTGTTTTTGCAAATAAGACTATAGAGAGAAGTAAGGTATATTAATAATTCCAGAATTCTTTATGGGAATTCAAATTTTGAAAGAAATTCAAACCTTGCTTCAGATTTCTTGTTTTGGGCTCTTTCTTGGATAACAACTCAATATGCAGAGTCTTTGTGCTTTTCTTGTTATTTTATTACTTTATTCGACCCAAAATGACTCTTTTCACCTCGACTTGTCACAGTATTCCTCTTTTCTCTCTTCATAGGCTACAGAATTAGAGATTGATCCCAAAGATTTTGTGTGATAGGAAGGAAGCAATAGACCCAAGCTTACAACACTTTTATTACTGTCTAGCTTCCCAGGCTTGAGCATTGGTGATAGATGTCCTGGCATAAAATAATGGTGTTGGAATTACAAAAATATTTCTATATTAAATAGCATGATTGGGGTTTTGGGGTTTTGGGGTTTTGGGGTTTTGGGG